ATATATATATATATATATATATATATATATATATATATATATATATATATATATATATATATATATATATATATATATATATATATATATATATATATATATATATATATATATATATATATATATATATATATATATATATATATATATATATATATATATATGTATATGTATATATATATATATATATATATATATATATGTATATATATATATATATATATATATATATATATATATATATATATATATATATATATATATATGTGTGTGTGTGTGTGTGTGTGTGTGTGTGTATGTACTACTTATGTATATGTACTTATGTATTTAATAAAACAACTGAAACATACTGTATTTACAGGCTTAATATTGGTGCTACATTTAATTTAATTTGAAAATAAGTGTTTTCGATTTTAATATACTTGCCTAATATACTTGAACTTTTTCATTTACTACTTACTATACTTACTAATATGCTTACTTTTCTGATATAATTAGTAACATAATTTATAACTGTGATGTAAAGCTGAATGTTTAGCATCATTACTCCACTCTCCAGTGTCGCATGATCTTAATTCACTGCTCATTTCTTTATTATTATCATCAGCGTTAACAACTGTTGCTTTTTTATTGCGGTTAATCGACTTTACTGTAATTTTTAATCAAATTATTATTTTCTTTCAATAACAATGAGCTCTGAGTTTTGAACAGCAGTGTGCTCTTCATATTGAGTCTAATATGGAAGCTTTATATCTCAATACGCTTGATGAAGCCTCTCGTGTTTAGTTTTTGAAGTTGACATTAAGAACATAAGCTGGTCTGAGCTCCTCGTGAGACCCACAGAAACAGATGTCCATGAAATCACACACACTCACAAACACTTCATGTGTGTCAGCATACAGTCATGCTATTCAGCCAATCACAATAATAAAACACTTACTCTGTGCTGTTGATTTTCATTGCAGGTTTAAAATAAGGACTAAATCTTTATTACTTAATGACCTCCCCTACGCACACACACACACTTTAATTCTTGTGGGATGTCAATTAAAATTCAAACCCACCCCCACAGTCTGAAATAACACCTCAGTTTAAGCTCCTCATATCAAACTCTGAGGAGTTTAGTTAGGCTAGCTCAAATTCTTGCTGATTGCACCCATGTTTAAAAGCCTGTGCTCTTTTTTTTTTTTTTTAAAGAAATGAAGATTATTATTATTGATTATTATTATTGATTAAGAATGCAAAAATGACTCTAAGTTGAGTATTTTATACTGTTAGCATTACTTTTGAATAGTAATAATGTTAGCACTATATCATGTCAGTTTGTTTTACTATTTAATAAAATAAGCTTAATTTTCAACAGGATTAAAAAAGGGAATTGCAGCTTTTAAATCTCTTAATTCTGATTTATTTATTGCACTTGGAAGTATTTTATAGTAGACTTCTTGTATCTTCAGCAAATTGTTTGTTTATATATCATTGCAATTTCAAGTCTTTCACTTGCGATTGTAAGTTAACATCTTGTTAGCAAACTGTGAAGAAAAAGTCAGGATTGGAGTTGGATGGTGGAACTGTTACTAGTTTGTTAATCATCATTTCCCCTCGCTCTCTCTCTAAATTGTATACTTTTAATCTTTGTGTTCATCAAAAAACGGTATTTATTCAAAAACCAATTCTAATGGACTGTGAGATGAATGAATTGAATTTTTGAAATATTTTTCTGATATTAAACTATATTAAGAATTCAAAACTGATTGTTTTCTAGGTTATGTAAAGCTCTTATATAAACATTTAAATGTTAACCTCAAACATACTTAACACATACTGAACATAAATATTAATCAGAAAATATCAATCAGTTTTATTCAGTATCAATCAGCATTTTTTATGGCTGTCAAATAATTCATCAAATTAATTGCATCCAAAATAAAAGTTTGTATTTGCATAATGCATGTATGCTTAATAAATATTGTGTGTATTGTGTGTATTGTGTGTGTGTGTGCTTATATAAGGTGATGCGGTGGCGCAGTGGGTAGCACATTCACCTCACAGCAAGAAGGTCGCTGGTAATTTAGGGTTATTATACAAGTTATTGTATAATGATGGTTTGTTTTGTAGACTATCAAAAATAAATAGCATAAAGGGACTAATAATTTTGAGCCTAAAATATATTTAAGATAATTAAAACCTGCTTTTGTTCTAGCCGAAATAAAACAAATAAGACTTTCTCCAGAATAAAAAATATTATCAAACATACTGTGAAAATTCCTTGCTCTGTTAAACATCATTTGGAAAATATTTTTAGAAGAAAAGAAATTCAATAGGGGGCTAATAATTCTGACTTAAATGGTATGTTTTGAGAAAAGCTGTCATAAAAACAAAAGAACTGATTAATATTTTAAATTGCGATAATATTTCAATATATTACTTTACTAGTAGCACACAAGACTTTTTCAGATACAGTCTATAGTTAAGCTAATGCTCGCATTCAAATAACGTGTTGCAAATGGCAAGATGGGGCATTGTGTTACTAGACAGTGCCCAATTTCACAATCTCTGCTGGCTCTGAAGCAAGTCTCAGCCTGTTCATTCATTTCTCACAGGCTTGTGTGCACATGTGCTGTGTGTGGTCCTGACAGCAACCGCTCATAGCGACAGCTGCACAGCACAATACAGCACAGATTAGCAACACAGACTAAAAAACTTTGTGCCATGATGACAGTACATAATATTTTACTAGATATTTTCAAGATACTAGTGTTCAGCTTAAAGTGACATTAACTAGGTTAAAAAGGTAAGTTAGCGTAATTAGGCTAGTTGTATAATGATGGTTTGTTGTGTAGGCAAACAATAAAATATAGCTTAAGGGGGCTTAAAATATTGATATTAAAATGGGTTTTAAAAAATTAAAAAGTGATTTTATTCTAGTCAAAATAAAACAAATAAGACTTTCTCCAGAAGAAATAATATTATAGGAAATACTGTGAAAAATTATTCGCTCTGTTAAATGTCATTTGGGAAATATTTGAAGAAGAAAAGAAATTACAGGAGCGAATCATTTTGGCTTCAATTGTATATGACCCCAAACCCCAAAAACTTTACCAGTCTTCACTTGCACATGTATTTTTGTGGGAACAGCCAACAATTGGTCAAATTGGGTTTTTTTTATGCCAGAAATCATTTAAATATTATGTAAAGATTGTTTCGTGAAGACATTTTGTACATTTCCTACCATTAGTATATTAAAACTCAATTTCTGATTTGTAAAATGCGCTGCTAAGGATGTAACTTGAACAACTTTAAAGAATATTGTCCTCAATGTTTATTTCTTTTTAACTCTCAGATTTCAGATTTTCAAATAGTTGTATCTCAGACAATTATTGTCCTGTCATTACAAATAATACACCAATGGAAATGTTTCTGAAAATTGACACTGGGTTGTCTGGTTTTGTGCTCCACACTGTAAAAACAATTGTACTGCTTTACATTTTTGAGTTGAATCAAATGAACTCTTCTAGTCATCTCAACTTTCATCAATCAAACTGACTAAAAATATAAAGTTAATCTTTGTATAACTTAAAGAAATTAGCTGAAACCTGTTAAGCTTATCCAATTAAGCTAAAGCAACATAAAAATATCTGTTGTCTTGACTTTTTGTCTTTTCATTTTTACAGCGCACCATAGTAAATATTTTATAAGTCAGTATGGGACATAAAGAAATTAAGGGTGTTTTAAATTTGACCCTGAACTTAAGTTAAATAAGTCTTAAGTTGCACAGGTATTTTTGTGAGAACAGCCAGAAATGGGTCAAATTGTTTTTTTTTTTCTTTTTATGCCAGAAATCATTTAAATATAATGTAAAAATTGTGTTTTGTAAAGACATTTAGTACTTTTCCTACTATAAGTACAGTTGAAGTCAGAATTATTAGCCCCCCTGAATTATCAGCTTCCTCGTTTACTTTTTTCCCCAATTTCTGTTTAACGGAGAGAAGATTTTAGCACATTTCTAATCATAATTGTTTTAATAACTCATTTCCAGTAACTGATTTATTTTATCGGATGGGAGGGGACATGTCACCCCCGTCCACCCCGGGATTTACTCCCGTACTGCAGTCTTACATTTTTTGAGTTGAATCAAATGAACTTTTCTAGTCATCTTAACTTACATCAATCAAACTTTTTGTCATTACATTTTTACAGCGTACCATTGTGAATATTTTATGGGTCAGTATGGGACATAAGGAAATGAAAAGGGTTTTAAATTTAACCCTAAACTTAAGTTAAATTAAGTCTTCAGTTGCACAAAAATGGGTCAAATTGGTCTTTTGTGCCAGAACTCATTTAAATATTATGTAAAGATTGTGTTTCGAGAAGACGTTTTGTACATTTCCTACTATAAGCATATCAAAACTCAGATTTCTGATTAGTACTGCCCTGCTAAGTAACTTGAACATCTTTAAAGGAGATTTTCCTCAATATTTAGAGGACATTCAGATGTATTTATTTTTAACCCTCAGATTCAAGATTTTCAAATAGCTGTATGTCAGACTATTATTATCCTGTCATTACAAATAATACCCCAATGGAAACGTTTCTGAAAATTGACACTTGGTTGCCTGGTTTTGTGCTCCACATAAGTTAAAGCAACATAAAAATATTTGTTGTCTTGACTTTTTGTCATTAGATTTTTTTAAAGCGCAGGCTCAAATATAGGGAAAATGGGTCTTTAAACTTAAAATCTTTGTATATTTCTCCAAACATCTACAACTCCAAAGTAATACTGACTTGTATATGAAGTTGAAATGACGTTGAGATGTTGTCACCGGCGAGGAGTTTTAAAAAGCACACATTGTAGACAGATGGTGGAAAAATGACCTCAGTCTAGCGGGTTTTACCCTGTTTAAATCCAGGATCACAGCCTGCACTCATTCACACTGATGCATGCATAAACTCCACCATAATCAAGTGTAAACACACACACACACACACACACACTTTTA